TCATATAATGTCATTATTATTATTTATAAAAGTTATGGAAGTAGTCTTCTTCTTATTTTTATTTTATATAATAAAAATATTTCATGTACGTTAATATTATTTATTAATGTAATAAGTATAAATTATGTAAATAAATTATAAATAACGCAAATGAGTAATAAATCACTATTAAATATTAAACTATGTAATATTATATATTAATGTACTACATATATTTTATTATATAGACATTTATTTTTATTGTATAAATAGCTTGAGACTAATTCTTTAAATCACTATTAAATAACATCTTTAAAATATTATTTTTTATTTATACATACAATATATATGAGTGTCAAAACGAAGCTTATAAAACAAAGGTTAATTTAATATTATATATATATATAAGTGAATAATATACAAAAATATTTTCAAGTTTTTTAAAAAGTGATAAAATTAATAGTTAATAAGAAAACTTAAATAAAAAACATACAATGATATCAAAACTAAATAGAAATAAATCTTAGTTTGGAAATTTCTTAATATGGGTGTTTAAACACAATTTCATATATATGTGTGTCTGTATGTATATATTAATTTACTTCTAGTTATCATTTTAGTGATTAACCTATATCCATAACTGTTAATTTATATTAAAAAAAATAGATTAGTATAAATAAAATAATTTATTGTAATTTTTTTTATATATTTAATTTCAAATAATTGATATCATATTACTAAATGTAAAAATAAAAATAGATAAAATAGAAATAAAACAATTGATTGAAAAGTATGAAAATTTTAAACAATATATTTAGATCAATTATTGATTTCATATTACGTAAAATAAAAATTAAAAGTCTTACAAAAGATTGTAAAAAATATTACTAAAAGAAAATAGAAAAAAATTGTAAAAAATAATGTTTTAAAAAAATTCACATTAAGGAAGCAATAATATTTTTATTTTTTGTAAAAAAATTTACATTAATGTGATGCAACATGAACATAGTTTACCATTAATAATATTATATTATTATTTTATCCCGATAAAACCAAACCCGTGATAAATATTCAGCAGAACTTAAGCTGGTGTGTACCGTCTTGAAGTGTTTATTTAAAATGACATGAAAATTAAATTGTGTAAGAGAGTAAAATTTGTATGCCTAAAATGTATTAATACAACCTAATAAAATGTCTAAATAATCCAAAACAACTATATAATATTCTCAAAAATATAACTTAAATTTTGTCAAATTTTCTATGTTATCCCAGTCCCATTTGTCCTAGATATTAAATAATAATGGATATATATCAATATATTAATAACAATATGTATCAATATATTAATAACTACACATGAAAACTATTTCAATTTATATAATAGATACAATGAATATCATTGATGGTAGCAGTGAAGTGTAGATGCGTTAGGTTTCTTTGTTAATTTGTTTAATAAAATGATTAGATTTGTTAGTAGTTAAGATTTTGTAAATCATTTATAAAATAAAATATTAATTTATATGTATGGTAATAATCTATATAAATAATATGTTGAATAAAAAATATATAGTATGTGTATTGAATTTTATTAAATATATGAATATATTATACAATGTAACATAGAATTACCTAATTAAATTTAGGATTATTTAGTATGAGATTTCTTTAACCACAATAAAGCTTTGACAATATCGGGTAAGATATGGGAATGGAATTGTATTGTGATTTTAATCATTTATTTTTATTATAAAATCGTGTTGAGAATTGAGATAGCTAAATTTCACTTTGTCAAATTATGAGCACACATTTCAATTAAGTGAACAATGCGCATAGAATTGTATAGATTCGATAAATTTAAGACATGCGGCAATATATGATAAATTCGATAGTTATGTTAAACAATTTTGTACAGATTAGTAACCATATTTATCAACATTCCAAATTTTAAGGGCAGTATTACTGCTACCCGATTTTCTGGCAACATTTAATGAGTTTCTAAAAAAATAAATAAAAGTTACTATGAATGGCATGTAATTAATGCTAACTGAATTTTGACCAATAATTGACTTACTATTTTTGTTAAATGTTAATTCTTATTATATATATATATATTATGATATGAATTTCATTGATTATAATAGCCAACCATGCATATTGAGATAATTATATTAAATGTTTGTAAAGAATAATATATTAAATGTCTGTAAAGAATAATAACTGAATATTGTTGTTTCGATTGAATGTTTTAATTTTCTTTGACATACTTATAATGCTTAGTTTCCTTTTATACAAATACGTGTAAATATTGTATTGCTCAAACACTTCTCAACGCCTGGATAATTACTTCGAAAGAAAATAGCCATTAGATGATCTGCACTCCAAATTGTCAAAAGTTCCAATCGATGAGATTCTCAGAACGAAACTGCCGACAAAATCTGCAGATTTAGGGAGGGTCAGTAAGTGCCCTTTTATATATATATATATATTTTATTTGATTATTATATAAAGAAAAAAATTATAGTGTATGAGACGCGTACTTTCATTATTATTAATGGTAATTTTAAGCACTTGGTATTGTTAGATGGATTTTATATTATAAAAGAAAATACTGTTATAATAATAATAATAATAATAATAATAATAATAATAATAATAATAATTTTTAGTTTCATAAAAATAGAGGATTAATTATATGAACCAAATACTAAAATATATCTTTCGTAGTTCATTCGGATAAGTCGCAATTGTATGCGGTAGATAATAGTAGGATCGCATCGTGCTATCAACTACCTCAATTGTTACATCTGTTAGAATATACACTTGTGAATTGTCCCACATCATTTATACAGGAAAAATATGTCTAACTTATAAGCCTAGTAGGCTACTCCTCTTACCACCAATTGGTATTAGGATAGAACCCCACTAAGGCCCATCTAGGCTCACCCTGCTTTGGTGCGCTTCACGTCCATGGACTGCACCTATGAACTCCCGTTTCTTCATCCTCAACAATTTCATTTAGAAATCATACTTTAAAATATAATGCAAACAAAAATATAACGTTTTGTATTATTAATATGCATTTTTATAAGAAAATATGACCGACTACAATTAGACAGTCAAACCCTCTTCTAGAACATCCCAAATGTTGACTCCAACTCTTATCCATGACTAGCAAATCCTTTCCCAAACACATACATTTTTCAACCCTTTTAAGATATTACAATTTACCTAACTCCCTGGATAACATTGTACCAATTCATATCCAATTTTTCCAAAGTACTATCTAGTACAAAATAAAATCGAAGCAAGTTGTAATTTGCAGCAAATTCGATTCTACCTCTGTATTAAACGAGCCGCTCGTGAACTCAACTCGGCTCGCTTGATAAACTAGCCAAGTTGAAGCTCATTTAAAGCTCGTTCAACTCGGCTCGATAAAGCTCGATATTGTTCGACTCGTTAAATCTCGATTTTGGCTTGTTAAGCTCGAGCTCGACTCTTTAATATTTATAAATGAGCCGACCTCGAACTCAATTATAAGCTCGTTAGGGGTTTGAGCTCGGACAACATAAATTCGATCTCGACTCGGCTCGTTTACACCACTAGTAGCTCCCATGAGGGTGTTAGCCATCAAATTGCACACAGTCACACACACTGGGTGTGTGCAGAATTCTTAATACATTGGATATAGCAATTACAAGCTATAAATCGAAAAATTCCGAAGATCATTAAATAGTAGAGCAACTCGATAAGATGAATTTTATGTATTTTATATAATTCGACTCGTTAAATCTCGATTTTGATTCGTTAAGTTTTGAGCTCGGTTCACTAATATTTATAGACGAGCTGAGCTTTAGCGAGTCGAGCTCGAACTCAATTATAAGCTCGTTATGAGCAATTCTGCTCGAACTCGGCTCGTTTCGTTTCATTTACACCACTAGTAACCCCATGAGGGTTTTAACCATCAGATTTCACAGTCACACACACTGTGTCATGGTCTGTGAGTAGAGTTCATAATACCATTGGCTATAGCAATTACAAGCTATACGCAGGTGGACTACAATTCAGAAACCATTTGCACCAAATGCGTACAAACAACACAAAATGCATGTTATAATCATCACAAAAATAACAAAAAAAAATTCCACTAGTGCTTCTAAAAAAATTAAAATCATTATCTCTACTCCCACCTTTTTCTTATCTCTACTCCATTATAGAAATCCAACTCAATTCGATCTTTTCCCCACACAAATTCACTGTTAATGAACCAGATCAACCCTGTTTATGCTGCAAAACTTATCATGTGAACCCATTTTTCTTGATCAAAAAAGAAAAGCACTCAAATAAGTCATACTAATTTATGTTTCTAATTTCATTCACAATGTACCTCATGCTCACTCTTATCTCCTGAATTGCACAATTAGCAGTCAATAAACTATGTGGAGGATATATTACAATTGATATATTTCAAAACATTGGAAAAATTTCCAAAGATTATTAAATAGTAGAGCAGCTGATGAAAGAAGATTTTTAATTGCATGAGGTTACAATCATAGTATTTGAGGAATGAAAAAAAAAAAAGTCTATATGAGCAAAAATTTTCAATTCGAATTTCTGCAAATTCATTAACCTAAGATTCAATCAGGAAAAAAAGATTCAAGATATTGCAAACAGATACAAACGCACAGCAAATAACAGAAGCAAGCATCAACTTTTCTCTGTATATTATGTAACTTAAACCAGAAATGAGAAATTAAACACAAAAGACACAGTTATGACTATATAAAATAGCCCAAAAAATAAAAAACTACAGCAGACTAAAGAGGTGAAAAAGCTCCGTTCTTGTAAATAAAAAAAAATAAAAAATCAAAAACCACGATTATGTCATTGCTTCTCTGCCCTGTCCTCTTTAACAGTTTCAGCTAAAATTGACAGTAAAATTATTAATAAACTGATTGATAAAAGCAATTTTCCAAAACAAAATCATTTACTAGGGGTCACCGCTAATTACCTTCTGTTTTCTTGTTCTTGCCGGTCGGCAAGCTTTCGTCAGTTTGGGGGTTTGTCAGTACAGAGGCAAGAGATGACATTATTTTTTTCTGAGAAAAAAGTATTTAGGAATGTGCCCCTATATTTTTCATAAACATAAAAGAGCCCCTCTAGTTTTGAAAAATGCCAACATTGAGGTGTTAAGATGTAAATAAGGCGAGTATTGAGTCAAGTCAAACTCGAACTCGAATTTTTAGCTCGGTTCTTTTTATTAATATTAACAAGTTGAATTTAAGCATACTGAGTTAACTTCGAACCATAACGAACTAAATAATGTAGATATTTAGAAAATTATGCAATTTCTTTTATTCTCGAACTTTATCGAGTTGTGTTAAACTCATTAACTAATAAACAAGCTTTTTNAGTTTAACATGATGAGTAGAGCCCATAAACGAACCATTTCGATTAATGGATCTATTCAGTATCCACCCAAGCAAAATGGATCCATTCCATTGGTTGCATACTCAACTGAGGTGGCCCAACTTTGATCTCTTTCGGACCACTTCCTAGAACAGCCCAATACTTTTGACCCATCAATTTTCAGAAACCCTGCTGGAATTTCTTTTCGACACCAAATTCTCAATCCCCGAGTCTCGACTCTCGATCGGTGCGCGCCAGTCACCTCTCCAAGGTGTTAGCTTTATTTAATTTTCCATTTGTTCTTGTTGTTGTTAGATTATGTTGATTTGTTTGTTTGTTGAGTAACTTTCTTCAATTTATTATGTGGGTTTTGATCTGTTGGATATGTTAGAGGAAATGGGGATAATCTTTTGGTAAAACCCTTAATTGTCGAGTTCAAGCGAGCATCTTTGTTAATTTTGCAGAGTGATGGGATTGAAGTGTCCGTTCGTTTTTTGTGTTCTATCCCCGAATTTAGTTGTTCTTAGCTTCATATATGTTGCACTGCTTGTATGTCAAGTTTGATTTATGAAAAGGAAGGGTTTTAGGGTGTATTTCACCATTGAAAACTGATTTTCAGGTGATTTTTCATGAGCCCACTAATTGTTGTATTTGGGTTGTTCTTGTTTTTCTTGTTTTGTTAGTTAACTGATAGGAGTTCTTCTGATGCTAGTTTGTGTTTCAGTTTTCTGAAAAATGCTGCCCATTTGATAAAATTCCCCTTCGAGATGATTGAGTAATACAACAAAAAAAAAAAAACGTGGATTTAAAGAATTGTTTTAGTATGGCTGCTTGTATGAAAATCTGCATAAACTATAGTCTAAAAAGAATTCTGTTTGTGTATTTTTGCTATTGGCTCACTTCCTACACTTTACCTCCTTATTAGATAGATTTTTACCTGGTAAAAACCATCCCTTGCACAGTCACAATTTACGATTCTGAACACTGATACATTTGATACATGAGTCCAGCTTATGGCTAGGTTTGATAAGCTAGCATATAGCTTTGAAGTAAACTTCGAGCTTATAGCTGATACCTTATGACTTATGGCTGAAAAGCTAGCTTATATGATAAAAGTGATTTGTAAAATTAGTTGATAAGCTAGGCGAAATAAAATTTTCAATGGGCTTATTTGGAAAGCTACCCAATAAAGCTTATGAAAAAACACACCCTAACTTTTGTTTCACATTTACTAAATAGCATTTGTTATAATCATCTTTGGTATGAACGGAGTTCAGTTTGTAATGCTCTGATTGACGATTTCTTCACTTTGGATCGAGTATTTAGGGTGAGAGCCCGCATGTGAATATAATTCCATTTTTTCCAGTTTCATAAAGTATATTTTTAGAAACACATCTTAGTCAACACTTGTCGTTTTTGCATATATCTTGTTTGTGCACTTTACCTTTGCTCTAAAGTCTCTTGATTTTACAATCACGGTTTTAAAACAGGGAAAAATCATGGGCAGAAAAGCCGGAACCTTGTTCATCAACCCAAAGAAATTCGGTAATCTCCAAAAACCTTGCGCGAGAGAAATGATTTCGTTTCTTAATTGCCTGGCTTTGAGTCAACAAGGCAACGACTCAAAATGCAGCCGACAAAAATCGCTACTGAGTACCTGCATGGATGCTCAGGTATATTTTGAAAACTTTGAAAACCCGATTTTCATTAAACTCGGATTGTAATATGGTTCTTCATTCATTCTATTCCCTGGTAATTTTACTTTCAGAGCTCGTGACTTCTTTTTAGTTAACTTGGAATGTTTTTTTTTTTTTTTTGGTTAATTACTATGTGCAGTCTAGCGGTAAAAGAAAGCCATGGGGTAGCATTAATTATCACCTGCAGAGGCTGAGCAGGGGAAGGAAGTAGGTTCGTTGCACGTAACAATTTGGCCATGACGAACGAAAATTACTCGGTTTTTTTCTTTTTTCTTCTTTTTTGTGTTGAAATTGTCCTGATATAGTGTGATATGTGTCTTTGATGTGATTTCATGGCATTTTATTGAATTACTCTATTTCATGGTCTGAATGGAGGAAAATACTTCTCAGATGTTGTTCATTTACTAACTGCTATCTATATTTTATAAACTAAACTATCATTATTTTATGAACTAAACTATCATCTACACTTCTACAGTATGGGAAGAGTCGAGTGTGTTGTTTGGTAGCAAATTTCTTTTTTTCATTTTCATTTTTTTTTTGTCAATTTGTGAATCTGATTAGATTTGATTCGTCTTTTATTATTCAATTATGTTAATGCACAAGTCATAACGAGTCTTTAAACATAACAATCGTCGTGGCAGGTGAAATGGGACCTACACATGAAAACATGGGATTTGTTGCCTATTATATTTGCTAATTTTGTCTTCATTTTTTGGTGACTTTGAAAACGATCTATATGCAAAACATTCAACGCATAACATGTAATAGTGTATATTATAATATATAATGTGTATATTATAATTTTTTTTTTTGGAGTATGTTTGATAAGCTCCTATAATTTAGCGTATAGTTTATTCATTAATTTTGTAAGCTTATTTTATTTAAAAAAGTTTTTTGATACGGTTGGATTATTAATTAAATAAAAAAAAAAAAAAGAAAAGAGTTAGATCTCACAAGTTTTTCTACTTCAAATAAGCTAGAGTGTGTTTGCTTTAGCTACTTTATAAGTTTTGTATACTTAAATAAGTTTGATTTGGTAAGGGTAAATAAATTTGAGGTTATCACATAAACTTCATTAGGTAACTTTTCAAAAAATACATTTGGAATGAAGATTTATCAATTAATTTAATCAAATACTTTTATTATATTTGATAGTTTTTTGAGCCATAAACTATCAACTATAATTTTAAAATTAACTTATGAGCTACCATGCAGCTTTTCAGCTAGATTTAGCAAATATAACCTTACTTATACTTATGATACATAATTTTTTTCACCATTTCCCCTAAAATGTTCACCCCCATTTGAATTTTACACTGACACCCTCGACTAATGACCACTGTTCTAAAAATTGGCCTAGGCGGCGCCTAGGCGCTAGGCGGGCGTTGGCGGACTTAGGCGCCCCTAGGCGGACTCGGCGGCAATTTTTCATTTTTTTTTTAATTTTTTTTATTTTTTTAAATACTAATTACATTATTTTGTTCTCATGTTTTCTTTAATATATATTAATATTATTATTTGGAATTTGGTGTGTGAATTTATTATATGTTGAGATAATTTTATTTTGTAGGTAGTTAAAATAAATAAAAAATAAGATATTTACTATTGATTTCTGGGCCCCGACTAGGCGCCGCCTAGGCCCCGACTAGGCGCCCTAGGCGCTAGGCACTGGTCGAGTGCCTAGCGGGCGCCTAGCGACTTTTAGAACACTGCTAATGACATTCTCTTTGCACAACTATTTTGCAAAAAAGCAAGAAAAAATTAAAAGAACCAAATGAAAAAAAATACTCTCTCCATTTTGAAATATAAGGCGTATAAAGATTTCTCAATTTTTTTGAAATATAAGGCGCGCTCAAAAATCAAGACAAATTTTTACATTTTTTTCTAAATATACCCTCATTGTGTTGAAATTAAGAAAGTGTGGAGTGGTTGTGATTAGAGTAAATAAGGTTAATTTAGTCAATTTATTCATTAATTAATGTCTCCTTAATATTTGTGCAATAACCTTAAATGCCTTATATTTTAAAATGGAGGGAATAACAAAACAAAAAAATATTTTAGAATTTGATTTCTTGTACAAAAAGTTTGATTTAACCTGCAGATAAATTAAAAAATTTTATAATTTTCAGTTTTTCACACGTTGGAGTTGTCACACCGACAACGACGACGGTTGTTGAAACCCGCCGTCAGGCGGACGAATCTTCTCAAGATCCAATCTTTTCAGGCCGCCCGTCCCACCGAACCTCCTCCCCCACAGATTCACCTCGACCCGGCCGCCGCCCGGCGGCGCCGCCGCCCTCCTCACCACTGGCAGCGGCGGATCCATCTCCGACACATCCACCACCACCGCCACATCATCCCGATCAAAATCGACCGTCTTCCTCGGCCCTCTCGAATTCTTCGCCGCCGTAGCCTCTCGGCTGATCCTGCAGCTTCTCCTCCCACCGGCGGCGGCCGGCAGATGGGTTTTGCCGGCTCTGTTCCGATTGGCGTTGGTGGGCTTTGCGGCGGCGGGGTAGCCGATGACGCGGTTGTTTCTCTTGACCTGGCCCATGCAGCTGACTTTTGGGGAGTTGGGCTCGCTGCCGCCGGCGGCCGGCCGGCTGGTTTTCCGGTGGCTGTTCGGTTTGACGTCGGTGATGGACAGGCGGCAGAGCATCGGCAGAAAAATGGTTTTCTGGTTCTGAATGTTGTGGTGATGATCGTATTTGTTCGCCATAGCTTGTTAAGATCAATTATATGTGTGTGTGTGTGTGTTTTACTCTGTTTTGGTGTGTGATTGTGATTTGTGTGTATTTGAGTGTGTTAGGATTGTGAAGAAGATGAAGTACAGAGGGATTATCAAGATTCAATTTTTGGGTTTGGTTAAAGGGGAGAGAGAGATGTATTATGTATATAGCCTAATGTGGATAAATGCATGTAGAAATATATATTGATGAGATTGCAAAATATACCCCATAACTTGGGAAGATGTTAATATTTCTCTATAGTTTAATAATTTCATAAAATGCACAATAACTAATAAAAATTGCAACGCTATGCAATTAATTAGTTGAGTNATTTTGATTATGGTGAAAAATGGTTTGGAAGGGAGTATAAAGTGCTTTATTTCTATAGAAGAAAGAGGATAGTCCATAATCACCACAGTATCCTATCTACACAATTTTAATTTTTTAATAATCCTGCAGTATTTGAACTTTAAATTACTACTGGATTTGAAGTGGATAAGTGTTTCTAATGACCATAATTATAAGTATTTAACAAAATTTCACCTGTTGCCAACTAAAGATTAGTTCATGTCTTGGTAGTCAAAATTTGGTCATGTTTTTGTTACACGGCCTCATTTTCAAGCGTGTCCTTGTTTTATTTTAATTTTTTATTTAAGAAAAGGCAGATTTGTTGAGGCTATTTTCCACACTATTTTATAGCTGTGTTGACTTTATATAGAAAGTTCAATTAGTGAAAAGACACATTTTGAAAGCACCTAGTATTTATGATTAATTTATGAACAATTGAACATATATATGTTGCATATATAGTCTGAATAATAGATGCATGCATCAATTAAGTGTTCCTATTAAAGTTTGAAACCTATCAAATTCACCTCATTAAATCATGTGAAAAAATTTACAATTATTTCAATTTGGTTGGGATTTCTAGTATATTATTACTCACAAACTCAGTATCTCATGCTATAATCTATGATGTGTGTAAATATATATTTGTATGTATCCCATATGCAAACAAATGGGCCATTATTTAATACTATATCATATACATCAAAGAGAAATCAAAGAGAAATTTTTGAGTCATATGAATCCAGTAGAAAATCTTCAACAGGAGATTCTTATGGCTAAACTCTCCTACAATTTAATTTTATTAAAATATAGTCTTTGTTGATAGGGTTTGGTTCATTGAGGTCCCTATTATGAAAGCTTGAGCTAATAACTCATAAAGGGAGTGCAAAAAAGTTCCTCACTCTACATAATAGTGTCTTTACTCATCTAATAAATACTTTGTTTTGTTTCTTTTTAAAAAAATTAAATGGACCTTTCTTGAACTTGATATATCATAGAGTACAATTCATGAAGCTCCAAACATGAGGAAATTTATGAGTGTTTCTTATTTCTCTTGGGTGACATTGTTTTGTCTTTGTAGTGGGCTATATATCTACCTTCCATTTTGAACTTTAGGGCAATGAAGAAATTAATGCATTCAATTAGTATTAGGTTTCAATATTATATGACCAATTAACTATATTATCATGCTCTTGTTAGTTCGCTCGATGATGCGAACGGACATACTTTTTAATTATATATATGTTGAAACTTATATATTTTTAGGAAAAAAGTTAAACCATAACTTTTTAATTTGTTTAGTGAAATATAACATTCTATTGTAAAATAAAGAAATAGTAGTTATTGTGATTCCAGATGGATTTAATGGTCGTGTCCTTTCACTTAGAAAGTAAAGAAAGATGACCATATTGGCCTNCCATATTCAGAAACGTCTTTTACATGGAATCAAGAAAGTCAAATCAGTTTTGCCCGTGTAACAAAAAATAAAATGGCCTTGATTGAAAATGAAATCCTATCATCCTATTAATGTCAGGGAAAGTTCGGTACAAAGTAAAAAGAAGGCAAGATGAGATCAATATATAATAATAGCTCTAATATTTATAATTTATATATCATGCTTGACAATTTCAAGCCTGCATTTATTTGGATATTGCTGGGACCCTTTTACCCCTTTGAAATATGAAGAAAACTTCTTCAGATTTGTTGTCTCATTGAGAAATGATCAAATGAATATGCAAAGGAAGAAAGGAACAAGAACAAGATGACAAATTCAATGTTGTTTCTATTATCAGTTAACCAATAAACTGTGATCCGTAGATTTATTGACATACATGTGTTTATATTATCTATAATATTTATTTATGTTCCATAATAATAAGAGCTAATTTATTCACAGCCTCAGCTGAATTGTTTTTGTTTTTCAATATGAAATGTAATAACAACACGACATAAAACATGAGCACGGCAAAACAATTAGAAAATATAATTATAGAAACAAATGACACAATGGACACGACACTGCACAAAATTAATTTTTTAGCTCATATCATATTTATAATCAAATAAAATAGATATCACGAACACAACACAATATAACGATTAGCAACCCTTAATAAAAAAAGAGGTAAAAGGAAAAACAAAATAAATATTGTTCTATTTGCTTTCCTCTTTTCAACTATGATCCAATCAGTAAGCAGACAAGCAAACGTGAAGCAACTTATTCATAAGAACACTACACGAATGGCTAATATATATTTTTCCTTCTGAGTACAATTTTTTTATAAACAAATATGTGCACGCCTGAACCATAGTAAGAGTGAATATTATAAAACTTTTATAAACCTTTTGTTTATTCTTACAACATAAAAATAATCAATGACTGCAAATTCACAAGGCAAAGTTCGTCTTTCAAGATTTTCATTTTCTTCCTCACTTTGAGATTGAACAGCAGCTTTACCTGGCATTTCCAGTTCACTACTTACGATCCCAAAAATCCGAATTTTTCGTCAGCTTCATCATGAGATATTTTGCTTAACACGATTTTCCTCAGCACCATCATCTGGATGATATTCTTCTCTTGTGATTTGTGGGTTTTGGGTTTGAATTTCCAGACCTAATCCTTTCGTGAGGCAAACGTACTTGAACACTAACTGCTTATAACTATTTAGTAAATCCTCAACATCACCAACTGTCAAATCACCAGTTTGGGAGTACAGAAATGGAAAATCCCGGAAAACCCCTTCATTTTCGATATCCGGGATTGAGGGGTTTTTATCTAGTGACGATGATCGATCTTTCTTGAATCTTTCATCATTTTTTCGTGATTTAATTTCGGATGATTCTGAAAGATGTTCTCGTGCAGATTCCATGTTCTTCTGAAATTCAGTTTCGTCCATCGAAAGGGCCTTAGCATCAATATTCATAATAAAAGAGACTACCGAAAGCATGTTCGTGAAGAAGTAAGCTGCCTCAGCTACCATGTGAGTTTGCCGCCTAAATCGCTGTATGTATGCTAAGTTGGAATGCAGTTGGGCCGGGTTTGCCTGTTCAACATAATACGTAAATCGATAAAGAATTTATATGAGATATCGAGATGAATAAAAAATGATTCGAAACACGGGAAAAATATAATCTCGCGAGTTGGTAGTGAAAACCGAGAATCAGAATTTAGAACATTTTCCTTATATTTTGATAACTTAATAGTCCTTGTGACTCTGACTACATACATGATCATATACTGGCACTTCACTTCAATTTTTATACAAAAAAATTGTAAAGGAAAAGTAACAAATGCAATATTACCTTTATAGTCACGTAAATGAGAACTGGGAGGAAATCGTCAGCTCCTGGATGATCCTCATTAGATGCACGGGAGGCATTGATCAATAGGTTACTGATAACCTTGCAGCATTTGAGAATGCAAACTAGTTTATCTCTTGGTGCCTTGTACATGCCAATCTTTTGCAGTTCTTGCTGGGCGAGCTGCCATAATGGTAAATAGAAATGGAGCTACAGTTAAAACTACAATATCTTCTCTATAACAATAATAATTTAGTTTGCAACTTGAAAAACTACCAAAAAGTTCATCTTTTTCCTTGGAATATTCATCACATATCCAATCAATTCATACACGACATACATAGATCAGAATAAAAGTCACATACAGATTTTCAGGCCTAATAGTTTAAGAAATTTTGCTCGAGGAGCACTTAAATAGAATTTAAAGTTTGTTCCTTCATCCACTCACCACCCAAGAATTCTCATCTTGAAATGTCGTTTTGAGGTCCAAATTCTCAGGCCGAATAAATTGTTGAAGTAAAGCTATCTTCTCATGAAGCTGCTCATCAGCTCTGATGTCTTCTGGACTCGAAGCAAATACGCGTGTAAATAACTTTGCCATGACATATTTTTCTAGGCCCTGTAAAGCAAAAACAGGCAGAATTAAGAATCTAAGATGTTTCTTTACATCACAACAGTCAAACATGCGAAAAGATATAAAACCTTACA